TATAAAAATAGCTGCAATTGTTTTTTTCCTGATATATTACAGTTTTTTTTTTAAATTGGTTTGGTACTATTTTCACAAGTAAGGTGTACAGTTTCAAAACTCAAAATTTTAAATTGATTACACTTGTAACACGGCTAGTCATTCTTTCAAAACCTGATCTCATGATTTCATTGTAGTTGCGCATATTTTCATTCCACATAATCATTGTTTCAAAACAAGATCATTGTGATATGTGTTGAGAACATTTGAATTCATCACCAAAACACAACAGTATGATCTTTCAATTCAGTACTTTTAACAATCAGTTCATTCAAGAGCAAACAATGCCAGATTCATTTTTCAAATCACCTTTGTTGCTGAAATAATTACAGTAACACAGGCAATAACTGTGATGAATGTTATATTATAAATGTTAGAAAATACACTTACATTACCTAACTTGCATATCTCACATAAAATCAATAATGTTTGTAAAAGTATTTGTCCAGTGTGTTATCAAAAGGTGTGATGAAGGTATAACATGGTCATAAGGGTTTGTGCTAGAACAGAGTTTACTTTCAATGCAGTATGGAAGAGGGGGGCACAAAGTAACACTTTTTGACTTTCTCAGTTTGTGTAAATCCACATGGGGTTCAGAATATAATTTTTTTTATCCAAAGTAATTTTACACTTGTCTAGTACAGGGTACATTGTAACATCTGAGGGGCATATTGTAACATGACCATATAACAGCTTAAAATGTTATCTAAACTATCTAAACTGATAAATAACAGATTGGAGATTAAAATAATAGCAGATTTGTCTAATTTTAAATGATTAATAAAAACAGAGATGAAAAATCTACTTAAGCCAGAATTTTAATTTTACTATGGTAAAATAAATGTTCATTGATATCTTCAAAAGATGTTTTGAATTTTGGCACACTTTTGTTTTCTATATAATGTTGATATGGTAACTAATACTGTAAATTTAGTTATGCTAGCATGTGTGGAAATATTCAAACCATGCGTGTTACAACTAACCCCGCGTAACTTTGTGCCCCGCGCTCCCCTAAATGTCCTCACTGTGCCATATCTGAATCTATAGCTGAATTTTTCAGATGAAGGGTGAGTTATAGTAATGTGCAGTCTTTACCATGGTAATGCTTCAATATACATTATCACATGGCATAATGTAATGTAAAATGCTGTATTTGATGCCATCTCAGGTCATAAAAAGTTTTAAATACGTTATATGGTATAAGAAATGTCTTAATTATAATTTCAAGAGGTCTTGCAGTTGGGGACGGAAAGACAAGAGTTGCGATACGGCTGGATTGAGCGCTGCACGTGTCAAGTCAAAACGCTGCTTTTATTTGAATGTATCTGAAGGCAACAGACTGTCCTCAGAAACGTGTCGTTGGCATTTTAATTTCATTTGATCTATAATTCCTGATAAAGCAGCGTTTATGAGCGCGGAGCTGCTTTGTGTACAGCCGTTACCGGGGCTCCTAAAATTTGCATTTCCAATCAGCCTTTCTTGCCGTTTATGGTCCGATCAATGCAAATATCATCTCACGTTTTACGCAGCAAACACATAGTTGCAAATGAGAAAGAAGTTAATTCTTTAAATAAAATATTTATACGATTTAAATTGACATAATAATATATATGCTTGATTTATCCCTTTTCATAAAAATGGTCTAAAGGCTGAAATGCTGTTGTATAAGAATTTTGTTTTTGTGAAAACCTGTATCTGAACTGTAAATCATGTAATTGTATGGCTCAATACTGTGTTACCATAGACATTGTCCAACCCCACTCATACTGTGTTCATTTTAATTGTGCAGCTCTTAAAATGGGTCACAAATTGCCTTCAATTTATTTTTAAAAATTCTGCAGATACCCTGTAAATAGTGAAATAAAATTCCTTCCTTCATATTTGTTGATATTTGTGTATTGAAAATATTTTTGATTGACATTTAAACTCCTATCTGATTTTCTATATTTAAAAAAAAAGGGTCTTTTTTTATTTGGGCTAGTTAAATAAATTTTCGGGCTACCAAAATCTGAAGAGTACCTGCCCGAAGGGCTACCAGGGATTTAAAAATTTTGCGAGCTCTGGTATGTATGATGTGAGTATGAGATTCATTCATCAAACAGTGTATAGACAGCTTTACTGATTATAAGGGGAGTTTTTTTAAGAGTGCTTTAACTCGCACTGGACCACACACACACACACACAGGTTTTCCTATCATTATGGTGACATAGGAGTAATGGGTTTTATACCTTCTCCCCCTACACTAACCCTACTCCTAAATACCCTTACGAAAATTTTTTTTTTTTCTCATTGGACCCAAAAAAGGACAATGATTTCTGATATTGCCATCTTTGTGGGGAAATTTTGTCCCCATACATTAGGGTTTACCTGAACCACACACACACACCCTTACAAAACAGTGGTTATCATCTTAGATAAATCACTTTTAGTGTAAAAATAATTCATTGCAACGGTTATTCCGAAAATGCAATCACGTTCTATATAAACTATATATATCTTTTGAATCTATATATAGATGCACCAAATGATTCACTGATTAACCATTAAGATGAGTTAGATCAATAATAGACAAATGTATTAAACCGAATGAGAAGTCATGCAAATGAACATTTTGATAGTAATAGTTTTATTAAAGGCAGTTGCTGTGAATGAAACATTTATATAGATGAAACACTTATTTTGTGTAGTGAAAAGGATATTTTGTGATTGTGTACATGTACCAACACAATTGAAAATATGCTGAAATGTTTGAAAAAAGTGCACTTTTGATGATCTGTTGTGATATTAGTACTAAGAGTTTTGAAAATTTACCAATTGCTTGTGAAAATTGCGCCAAAACAATTAAAAAAATCTAATACAGTAACTTTTGGTGAAACGGACCTTTAGCTATAATCTGACCGGTTTAGGTTGTAAATATGTAACAAACAATTCGTAGGCTATATTAAAAACTAAGACGTTTAGTATAGCGTTATTATGTTAGGGATGACCATTGTTTAATTCCTGGCACAATGTGAATGCTTAAATTAAATCCAAAATGATAACAGCACAATAAAACTGTGCATTACAACTTTCATTATAATTGATTGGGGTTTCAAAATAAATGTAAACATATATCCGAGTTATTCAGACGTGTAATGTTACGCGTGATTTAAATGAAGTCAAATATATAATTTACCTTGTCAGAGTCCATATCATGTGTGACAGTTATACTGACGCTGGATAGATAAAGGGGTATTTCTGCCATCGCTATTGTGTACAAACTCCGCTGTCCAGTTCACCAGCATCAACCCACAGTCCAGGCGGAGACATTTGTTCATGCCACCGCACAGCAACAGCAGCAGCAGCAGCAGCCTCCAGGCGGAGCCAACGGGAAATTACTATATTTGCGCCACCTAACGTTCTGGGGTGTAATTAATTTTTGCTTACAACAATTTGCCTTATTTATTTCTACCGTGTGTGTTTGGGCCATTCTACAGAATTAGTGCAAAGTCAGAGTTGGAAACATCTTGAAAAAAATTTATTTTTCCATAAATTTCGTATATATGCAAAAGGTACACATTTCTAATTGTGCAGTTAAGTCTCATACTGAATTTTCAGAAAGATTTGGAATATTTGTCCTCTCCCCAAATTTGTCACTACCAAAACACAGTAATATATAATTTAATAAGAAGGGTTACATTGACCTATTAAGATTTTGCTTACATCTACCTTGTAAATATTTATTTTATTTATTTAGTCATTTAGCAGAGGCTTTTATCCAAAGCCACTTACAAATGAGGACAACAGAAGCAATCAATTGTAGTATTAAAACAACTAAAAACAGATCCAAAACTAAAAGCTAAAACGTTATAAATACTACTTATACACATTTTAAAAATAAAGAAATTAAATAAAAATGACAAATGCATACAAAATTTCAAAACAACATTTAAATGAAAAACAAAAAATAAAGCTAAAAACAATTCAAAATATGAAAGAACAAAAAGGTATGAGTATAATAATGATTCTAACATAACACTAAATTTAAATTAAATAAAAAAAAAAACAATTAACATAACACTAAGCCAAACACCAAAAAACAACGTACATGTTGTTTGTACGTTTGTACACATACATATATATACATACACATTTATAAATTCAATATATATATATTATTTCATTTCCATTTAGTTGTTATATAAATTAGTTAATTATATTTAGTTAAGTATTAAAATAACTCAAATTAAATAAAACTAAAAACGTAATAAAAGAC